GGGGGGGGGGGGTCAGCATGAATGCCGAGACATTGCCTTTGGCAAGCCCAGCGAAGTTAGACCATCGAAATCAGCCGGGGAGCTTTAGGTACGCGGCGCGTGGATATATACACCGCGGTCGAATTATTCCCTTTGAAAAGGCCCGCGCCTCGTCTTGCTCGAGTTACACTCCGAGTGAAAGAGCGAAGGATAACCCTTGCCGGACTCTTGGAAATTATTCCCGAAGTTTTCCTTTTGATTTGCTGGCGCGCGTGCATGGAGGAGTCCACTTTAGCCTCGATCGAACGAGCAAGGCGTCGCGAGACGCCGGACGACGCGACGCCGTGATAAAAAAGCGCCGGGGGATTCGATTAATTCCTACTATGCATTATTCGTGCCGTTCTTAGCTGCGCTTCCAGTTTTTTATTTTCTTTTTCTTCCTCGCCAGTCGATGCTCTGGAAGTTCTCTCTCTCCGGAGGTAAAAAGCACGCGAGACGTGGCGTCACGAGCCGGGGTGGAAGGGGGAGGGGGGGGGGATGAGAAGGGCGATGGATAAAGGGCGACGGTAGTGCGCGGAGGTCGAGGGCGACGCGCGTAGCGCGAAGACACGACCCAAGTTCGCGCGATCGTTGTGGACGTGCACACAAAAGTGGGAACTTTGTTGCGAAATCCCGAAGCTCGAGTCACGGGCGAAGTGTTAGTGCAAATCTGTGCTCGAACGAGTAAGATAGCCCGCCTACGATCGATTCGCGTGCACAAGGAATAGTTCGTAACTTCTTCTTCGTCGCTTTCACGTAATCGCGTAGCGTTCTCGAACGCGTAGCGGCTTGCCGGGTATTACAGCGGGTAGAAAACGAAGAACGATGAGTTTTCGGCCGTTTAACCTAAACCCGTCGCGTGAGCTTTGCTTTAATCGCCGCTTTAATCGGATTCGAGGAGCTCGTACGAACTTTAATTCCCGTCTGCGTACAAAGAGTTTTGCAAGTGTGAATTAAATTAAACAGACGTTCTCTCTCTCTCTCTCTCTTTCTCTCTCTCTCTTCTTTTTTCCGCGTCCGCAGCCGGACTTGTATGTTTGACAGCTTACACACGTTTCTCGTCCGAAAAGGAGCAGTTTTAGTAGCATTAGTATCAATTTTTCTTTTTCTTTATTTAGAGCGAAATCCGCGACGTAAACTCCGGCTAGAGCGGCGAGTTCTATACGGCACTCACGAAACGCGAAACAAAAGAGTACGCTAAGCACGACGAAGACGGCGAGCGTGTCAAGGGATGTTGGTTATTCCAACGACAGGATTACGTGCACTCTGAAGGAGATAGCGGGAAGGGACAAGAGAGTACGGGTAGATCTTTCCTTCCTTCACTTTCTCCCTTTTTCATCCTTTTTTTCCGTTCTTTTATAGCTCCAGAAAACACTTTGTACTTGGCGATGTAAACGCGCGAAAGTATAATACCTGCGCTCGTGAGACAAGACGATTTCGTCGCTGCAAATATCTTTTCACGGATAAAGGGGATAATGAGGATATAAACGCGCCGCGCGCGGTGTCTCGAACGTTTCGACGACGGTGCTCTGCTTGGACGCCTGAAATTTTCGCGGTGCGTAACGGAGAAGGAGAAACAGATTACACAATCGTGTTAAAAAAAAGTTTGGACCGTTTCCTCTCGATTTTGCGAGATACTCCGATCTGTATGTATCGGTCGAACAATAAAAAAGCCAAGAATGTTTTCCACGTGTTC